GAAAGCACATTGCAAACTATAAAAAACCTTTAAAATGTATGTATTCAGTGATTTCTGAAGAGATTTGAGTTTATGTATGCATTCTGCTAGCAACTATTCCACAGTGCAAGGACATAACCATTTGTGCTGTCATTTCGCTGAGCTTCACAACAACCTTTTTGTTCCTTAAAATGTCGTGACAAAAATAAGAAATTTAACTGTCTGCCTAATTAGCTTACTGTCCACAAAATTATGCATTTCAGTTGTAAGAGTAAAAGTATTCAGCCTTTTTAAAATAGTTGTTCTAAATGTACTGTTGTATAAAGTCTCTTTTGTCTGATATATCTCAGTATATAACCATGAACAAACCTGCAGGAGTGTCCCTGTTCTTGCAGTTTTGTAACTACTTCCACTATGATTTTTCCCCTTTTTTCTTTCTAGATAAATATCCATTAATTCCCTTTTGCGTGTCCCTAATATTTTGTGGACCAAAGATCACATCTGACCATTAAGAGGTCTGGTAGATGATGCGTTTTCACTGAGAGATGAGACCACAACCAATAAACAGGCAGGGCCAGAATGAAAATTAAATATGGTTTAATTTAAATTAATCTTAAATTGAGTAAATATGATTGATTAATTAATTAAATGACTTACATCACTGACCATCTTATGAAACGCAACTCTGGGTGCCCCACAAATGTGATTGTTCCCCATGTATTTTTACTAATTCTCAACTTCTACCACATTTCAATTGCAATTCAATAGCAACTTTCAAAGAGGGCCTAAGGACTGCTGCCTAGTATTTCAGGAATTATTATAAACTCCTAGTTAATAACATAAGATCTCCAAATGCCTGATTTTATGTTTGAAGCATTTCCAAAATGTTCAAAACCACCTGTTTCAAATTCAGTAAAGTTTTGCATTTGAGTCACCTGTTCATATTCAAAACATATTTCCCCACACCACCATGCTACACATGTTAGCTAGATCCTGCATTTAAGGACTCAATTTGTACATTTGCCAAACAGGTTGTTGCTATTTCTTAGGGTCACAGTAATACATCATGGGATTAATAAGGAGCAGCCCCAAAGAATATGCACTCAATTCTTTTGTTCATTGTTCCCAATTCAGAATGGGAACTTGTTGCAGACAGTAGTGAATCAGTTGGATTTGTTCCAGTTGCCTGATTGGATTTATAACTGAACATTTATACTATGGGATTTTTTTTTAACTCTCCCAAATTTGATTTATTTGTTTAAATGACACAAACAAATAAAGGCAGACTTATAGAAAGTTAAATATATCCAGATCCAGTGATTTCAGCGTATTTGCTTAAAGATGTTGAACTCAATCTAAAGCAGTGCTTCCCAAACTTTCTCCTTCATTACCCAAAACCCTAACTTCAAACGGTTGCTGAACGAATGGTCATAACTCGAGGGCTACCTGTATTATAAAAACAATATCACTGAATGATCTTTATGTCATTTCAACAAATTACCATTGGTAATTCCATCAATTTTTGTCTTAATAGGAATACTTTGGGAGATTTTCGAATATATTTTAGTACACGTGACAATCTTCAAATCAATTTAAATGTCCCTGTTGTGATTGGGTAATGGGTTCATGTGTCATTACCTAAAGAAAAAGCATTTTTACTTAATTTTGGGTAGTTTATCCAGGTTTGGGAAGCACTGATCTAAAAGATTAGATTGAAACAGAATTAAAAATGATAGCCTTCATGTTTGACATGTGTAACAGCATGTCATATTCTGTATGAACAATTTGCAGCAGTAGAATATTTCTTCATCACTTGTTTCAATTAATGTAGTTTTTAATCTCTGCTTGACAACTTTTGCATTGCAACAAAGGAAAGTTAGCCTCAATACAAGATATTGCGAAATAGTGTCCCTTCCTTCCTTTTTCTTGAAATATCAAAAATACAGCTGTATGCACCAATAAGGTCTACTGAGCTAAATAGAGCTTACTTTTTAACATACACATGGTTCGGTATTTAATTTCTATTCAAATTAAGTTTTTAAAGAATTTCACAAATGCTATAAATGGTTGGGCCTAAAAGTTTTAACTCACTATTTTAAGGAAATGATATTGCAAAAAAGAGGTGTAAATCAAAGCTATAAATATGTGAACATTTTGTTTTCTGTTGAGAACATCTCTGAATTTGAATATAGGCATCTATTCTGTTCATTACAGAATTATATTATTGAATATATGTATATTATATTACTGTAAAGCTATCAAATGATAGAAAATCATTGTGTGAGCAGTGAAATTGTAGCTTCCCATGACGAAATATGGAAGAGAAGTTAGCTAGCAAGTTCCTTGTGTGCTTCCTTGCACATCTGAGAGGGAAAATTAATTCCTATATTTATGTAAATTCCTTCTGAATCCTGAGTACTTCTATGAAAGTGTTCCTTGGTGGGGATCCAGCACCATATCCCACTAGTAAAAGGAAAAGATAATTTTAACTGCTTTCCTGTTCCTTTCTAACTCTCTTTGCCACCTTTCTTACATTCCCTTACCTCCTTTCCCACTTTTCCCACAGTACAGGTATTCTGTGCGTGATATTTTAATCACAAGAAGTTTGAATGCACATCTGGCACTTTGAATTATCAGTATATCGCAAGGGTGTTTGGGAGAACTGAGGTTTACAAAATTCATCTCCAGTTGTTAAATATCTGGTAGAATGGGAGGATGAGACTGACTCTGCAAACTTTCACAATGCAAAAGAAACAGAAAAAGGGAAGAAAATTACTGGCGTGAGAATGCTTGCCATCTTGCTCCAATACAGAATCATGCAGCAAATTGTTAAACCAAATCAAGGACCTATTTAGTACAATTTTGTGATACACATAATAGGCTTCTCATGGATATATGGTGTCAACTCCTTATATGTATAAGAAAGAGATATGATTATTATAATATCCTGAAACAGTGCAGTAGGGAAAGCGAATTATAGGCTAAATGTGATAATTACAGCCTTTCATTTGATTTCTTGATTGTGGTGTAACACTAGGCTACGTTGTTCAGTAAGGCAACCTAAAGGATCCATTTTCCACTTGAAAGAATTATCTGTGTCTATACCAGTATTCAATGAGATCACTTAATAGTTGCATTCATCCCCCCTCCCAATCAACCAAAATGCAGTCTGTAATTTATATTTGACCAGTCCATCTCTTTTTCATATCTATCCAATGGGTAGGAGACAGCTAGTACTTCAGTCTAGCAGTAATAAATACAAAACAGAACAGCTATGGATAATGCTGCGAACAAAAATATGAGGTTAAGATATTCCATAAATTATTTCCTTCAAACAGTCAGTTACAAATATATGCCATGCACACTTGCACGCCATCATCCTTTTCATTATCCAACATTAATGCAACTTCAGCTTTTTATCTCCCTTTATCTTTTTATCTATATAGCAGCTTTTGCCTTAATAGGGAATAATACTTCAGGCTCAACCTTGGGAATATGACCTCTATTTCACAGAAGGGGAAGGGGGAAGAAGTCTACTTTTCTTTTTTTTCTCTGAAGGCAAGGTAAAAAGGAAGATTAAAATTAATATTATTAATATATCAAAGTTAAAAATAATAGCAGCATATTCAGTTTAGTTAACCATTTAGGGTAAGATTAATAGTTCTTTTCCCAGATGAATAACTTACTTTTTCCTTTGTTCTACAAGTCATTCATACTTCCTCTAGCTATGATACAAACATGTCCCACCAACTGTTTTTATATGACATGGCATCATGACACTGTCTTCAACTAATCTCTAGCCCACAGTAAAAGCAGCTCAACATTTCTTTAGCTGTCCCAGTTTGAAAGTGATGTTTTCCCTCTTCTGACATCGTTTCCGTGTGCTTCACTGACAGTGGGGCTGATGATGTAATCAGAAGCTGAGACTTGCCCAGTTCCTAGTGGCCACTTTAGACTGTTGCAAGAATGCCTCTCCCCTTCAATCTCTGGCCATTTTTGCTTGGGCTGCAGGAAAGACCAGATACCTGGCTTCCACAGACTGGTTTGCCCACATAATGTCTCATCAGCACTTTCCAAAAAGCCTGCCAGATCTAATATGGAATCCTTATGTTCAAGAGTTCAGCTGTCTTTTCCATTGCTTCTGCACTCTCAGAGTCCCAGGTGTGTGGGGTATAGGGGGGAGAAGACATGGGAAGTTCTGTCCACTCCTTGGGAGCTTCACCCTTCCCAACCCCTCCCAAGAACAAGCCCAGGAGAACTGTGATACAGCCCTGCTCTTTCTGATCATTATTATTCTGCATAACTCTCCCTAATGTGCTTTGGGACACAGGGTAGGGAGTGAAAGTAGAACTCTACTTTTATCACTGTGTTTGGAATCTCAGCATAGCGATCCAAATTGAGCACCGATGGGTAGGATCCCAGGAAGGGAAAGGAAGGACAGCTTTGCCCTGTAGGTTTTTTGTGCTCTCATGGGTTGCTTGGCAGGATAATGGTATTAAAATATTGTTTTATCATAGTCTTTCTAGCTGGCATGTTGTTTCCATAAAGTATTTTCCACTAATATACTGTATAATGCTTTAATTGAACTGTTTTTAGCCTTTTGTTCTTTTAAAATAATAAGTGCACAGGAATTATGCATTGCAAACTCAAGTGCCAGCCACCAGCATTGCTTTTTTAAGAAGGATGTCCAACATAGACCCATAGCTGTTCTTTGGGTAGCTGCAGCTTAGAATTTTGTCCAAACTCTGTTGACCTGCTTAAAAAAAGACAGGCAGAAAGAGAAAGCGCCATAAGATGAAAAGGATTGCTGGATTTATTGGGAGAACTACAGAAGAGATGGAGAACATCCAGAGGACTCAAGGGGCAGAGGGGAGAATGCGGTCCATCGAACATTCCAAATTCTCCCTAAATTGTTCACATAAACAAAGGCTTGGAATCTCTTGGATTATGTAATCAGAACTACCATGAGTGGAAGAGTGATTTTTGACTTAAATGTATTTCTCTTTCTTCACTTTTAAAAGGGAGGTCCAATCCAGAACAGAAAATCCAAACGTTGTCTGGAATTGCAGGAAAACAGCGACAATGAATTTGGATTCCAACTAGTTCTCCAGAAATGCTCTGGCCAGCGCTGGTCTATAACGAACATCCTGAAAAGCTTGCCGACATAGACTTTTGGGGTGGGGGAGGGAATCTTCTAGTCAGTCTTCTTGCTACTGTGTAGCGAACGTTTGCAACAACACCTGCAGTTTCCATCCTTGTATCATTTTTGTGTGAGTGTGTGAAGGTCCGCTTGAGGGCTGAGAACAGACATTTTTATTTCATAATGGCATTTTCATGTGATTTATAGATTGATTCTGAATGGCAGGTGATGGTAGAATATCTTAAAATATTTTGCAATTGTACATAGGGGGAAAATGGAAAATATTTATAACTCAGACAATAAAATTTTATTGATTAAAAAACACAACTTAATACTCTCTTTGATTATTTCACTTGGGCAAGCCAGATTCAGAGCAACCTATCTAGTTCATGGATATCCAGTTTGCTTTTTCTTTTACTTTTTCACAAGAGCATTTAGAGTTCTAGATGCATTTCCTTTTGTCTTTATTTGCGTAAGTATTTCTCCATTCCCATTGTCTCTTCCTCCGAAGTGCAATTTACCAATATTAGTGCAACATTCAGGGAACTCTTAAACCTGTGCAAAGGGACACACAGTTCCTGCATCAATTCTGTAGTTTCATTAAGGGAAAAAAGAGATTCCCTTAGCATTCAGAGTTTCAGTTACGTACTGAGCATATAATTTATCCGATTTTAAAAATTACATTTGACTAATTACATATCATTTCCTTCTCTTAAGTCTTATATTAATTACTAGAACTTTCATAGCACTCAAGAGATTAGCTTTACCCAAAGCACGGATTTGCCTGCTGGTTCCTAGTGTTAGGAGCTGTTTCCACAGAGAAATAATTATGCTAAAACTCTAACTTGAAATACAAAATGTAAAGTAGGAACATTTTATATCCCTTTTTTTTAGGCAGGGAGCAAAGGAATATGGTTATACTTTTCTAAATAAATGTAGCAGAACACAAACCTTTTATATCAAAATATGGTATAATTCTACACAAGTCTACTTTGAAGTAAATCCCACCAATTTAATGGTCTTTCTTCCCAGGTAAGTGTGCTAGGATTGCTAATCTATTTTTTTAAATAATTTTATTCAGAATTAAATCATACAGTAACAAATAAAATCAATACTCTTATTCCAGTTTTCTGTATTCATTTCTCTCCCTAAGTCATTCTTGCATGTTTTTCTTAAAGCATTGCATTTTTCATAATTGTTTCCAGTAATAAGTTTATAAATTTGAAAGCAGTCTTTTCAGTTGCTCAGTATTTTCTGATTATAGTAAATACTTAAATTCTGTTAAAAGTTTAGTATCTAGTTTTGGTATTTCCTAATGAAAAATGTTAGGTTACAGTACTATTAACTCAAGCAAATGAAGTATCTGGCAGCATAGCTTTTAGTCTTTCTTCAATATAAAATCATTTCAGTTGAAATAACTCCCTTCTTTCTCTTATATTTCTGATTTTTTTTTTTCAAACTCCAAATTGTGGGCAACAAATGGAGTAAGAATTGTGTTCTCTTATTTCAAATTCTGAGCATGATACCAGTAAAATAATATTTTATTTGTTAACCAGTAGCTTAGGTGTCACATTCAACAAAGTACTTTAAATTAGTCTGATAGATTGTATCACATTTCATATTTCTTCTTTACAAGGTGACATACCAGATTCCAAAATAAAGACAATAACCTCAGACCCACCTGGCACACCTATACAGGGGACTAGGTTTGAATTTAAATCATAAACGTAGCTGAAGAGTAAGAGTATATAATGTTAAACATATGCATACATTTAAAGTCAGATTGATATGCCTTTAACGCTTCTGTATGGCACCTTTTATTTCCCAAGTTTCAATAAAGCCAAATAAGAAGACTTGAGATGAGGCTTTTTAATTAACAGAGGTTTTATTGGCCAATGACCTCTCTGGATGGCTCAAGCCAACACCGTGGCAGGAGTGTTGCCCAGAACCACACCTTGCAAAGCAAGCAACAAAGAT